ATGGTGCAAGAGAGGAAACATTGTCGGTGATTACGAGATGTAAAGCCGATAGCCTGGGAAGACGTTGGCGACGGCAGTACCTGTGCACTCATTATTTCACAACGCGAGTTGGCGGTAGAGCGTAATTCCCTGCCGATGCGGCCCGCTAAATTTAGTCTTGGCACCATCTCGGCAATCCACCCCGCATAATCTTTGACGTTGCACGCACCGAAAAGTATATTGCCAGAATGCGAAAAATGTTATTAAACCGCAAGGCGATCGCCCTGTTCAGAATTGGTGGCGTATCAATCTTCTTGGAGACGACCATAGGCCCCGAGAGGTGCAGCTTTGTTTCCCCGGCGCCTTCTGATGATGCTGTGTCTTGACTCTGATGCCTGTTAAGTATACTTAAAGGCGATCCCGTAATATCACGTTATGACGATACTGTATTATAAGAGTGGAACAATTAATATTAATTTATTTACCTTGATTATATTTGCTAATATTGCATCGTCTTTTACTGTACGAGCGAGAAAATTTTAATTCACACTGCTAATAACCATAAGGATACTTGAGTAACCCGACTCAAACCCCGGCAATGAAATAGAGCATTGTAGAGAAACATGTTTGTATATCGAAAATGTGTGTAGTTGGCGATCTCGGCAATACATAACGCTAATATGTATGCCGTGGTCAGTCCCCGAATGCACTTTTGAATTTGGTTATTTTTTGTTAAAAAATACTTTTGACTTTTAGTGATTGAATCAGAATACTCAGGTATTACAAATTGTGGTTAGACCTAGCACAGACGCTGATTGTATGAGAATACGGGGTAAAACTTAAACCGGGCCTGAAAAAGGAAAACGATTAAAAGCAAATCGCGCAAACGCTCAACTTGCGGTAAGCGAGCGCCCGCGTCCTGTCAGACCATAGCTACCGATCGAGCCGAGGTCCGGCCCTCTCGGGCAGAATCGGAATGCTAAACGCGTACTGAGTAACAGTCCAAGCCGAGGACCCGCCTCGGGGGCACTTGAGCCTAATTCTTGGCTGTAAGCTAAACATATGTGATGATATACATGCATCAAAACTAAGAGCTGCGAATTTTGTTGCTCAGTAAATAAAATTACTGGGAATACTATTCTTATCCGTCCATATGGACCTCCCTTTCGCTTCCTTATAAAAACAAGAAGTAACGATATTCACCTCTTTCTCACTACTCGCACTGCACAAAACCTAAAACAGCGCTGTGGTGAAGACTTTGCTTGTGAAAAACTACTACTCAAAAATTTATAGTAAAAATGAATAGTAGTTTAGCTAAAACATCGAAGGACAACTAAAGTTTCCAGTTAAACTAAATTTTCCTACATTCATATTATCTGCAGAGGATAGGACGTGCACATTGTTTTAGTAACCGCAAGTACGAATATAGAACGATACAATGTGATTGATTATTTAAATAAGTAAAACGATTGACGCTTTCAAAATACACCCACACGCTATTTGGCAAACAAACGAACACGCTCCCAAAATTAATTTTCGATTTGATCACACGTCACGGGCAGGAAATTAGTGGTAATGAAATAAAGGTGTGTATTCAAAGTCTGATTTCATTGCATCCCAATATTGTTTAAATTAGACGAAAGCTGGTAGCCGTTATTATGGTCGAAAAAAAAAAAGGATTTTCTTATCAGACCCGACGTTTGACATCAAGCAACATATCAAATACAACGTAGCCTTAACGGTAATGGTTATTACTCTCGGATATTATATAAATACAATGGCGGCCGTTATGTGAAATACGTGAACAAGAGCAGTCGGATATTGTTGCTAGGAGACGCTAACACAGCAATGTTTTTGGCAACGTTTTTTAATATGTAAGAGTACATTTTTACATATCGGCGATCACGGTGGAAATACATGCTCAATATCAAATAGTACTCGACATACGTTAAATAGAGCTCAGACAAACTTGTTGCAAACATCAGCAAACGATAAGTATCCTTTTACACCGAACAGTTGTTATTTTCTACACAAGCGTTTTATGTGGCTTTTGTAGATAACGTTGAAATATAAGTAGCGGCCGAGTTAGCAATTTTCCAGCCAGTCCCATCGCCTGAAGTCGATAATATACATATTCGATAACACATGTTCGGGCCGCAAGTTCTCAACGAACACGGCAAAGCCAGTCATGACCTTTCTCAAGCCCGACATAGCGGCTCGGAGTCGTCGATCCAATATGAATTTCACCGTTGTCAACAATGTCATACAATTGCCCGTATGTCGGTACTTTCCTGTTAAATTAGTTTGCGAGCTTGTTTGGCTAGTATTCGCTGAGTGTTGGCAACTTAAGTACAACAATTACGTTCAGTAGTGACTGGAGGATCTAAAATCACACTCTTATATTCTACATATCGTTTATGCAAATCGAAAACAACAGTAATTAATTTCTCAATGTATTTATAGAAATCAAAAAGAAATAAAAATTAATCTTATGTTAGCAAAAAAATTGTGATTGATTAATAACTAAGCAGTTGTGTTGAGAAAATTATTGGGATATTACAACTTTTTGAATTAAAGTGGACATTTTAAAAAATAGGGCCATTAAATCACATTACTCCAACAATATTATACTACTAAACAGTTCTCATTTTAAAAAATGCAATTTTTGTGATTCGTACCATCGAATCGAAACCAATATTCCTATCTTTTTTATTCGTTTTTGTACATATCGGAAACCGGTCACCTATACATATTGACGTACTTTGAAACGTTTGCTTCCGTCGGGCTCAATCAAATTTTTACATCCTTTCTATTTCCAGCGTATAAAGCTTTAGAGCCTCAGTCACACATAGTGAACAAAGAGCGCTGGTGAAAACTTCTAAAACTCTGTGAAATGAAACCTTATGCAGCCGCTGCTGCTAGGTGGAATGTGCTTTATGTACACGCGTTAAGGTCCTATTTAGTTGATTTGTAAGTTGATCAATATTAGACTGTGAATACAATTTTGCATCTCGTTGGTGGCCGAGAGCGCCAGTTTACGTTTAGTAAACATGCGAAATTGAACTTTCGACATTTTAATTTACTGACATCATATACAGCAGTTCGAATTACACAGAATATCAAGTATTAAGTATACCTGAAAAGGCCTTAAGGTAATGGTACAATAGTTTTACTGCTATATAAAGATTCTGTTAAGATTAAAATATAATGGAAGAACCTGCTAATTAAAAGTTTCCTTATTAAGTAATAATTTATGTATGCTCTTGTATGCTCGTAGCGGTGCAGTAACTTAACGTTTGGCTGTATTCTGAATGGGAGAGTTTTTTTAGTGTTAGAGTAGAATATCCTAACTTCTACTTATATCTTTGGCTACAACGGTGCTTTACATATCTCTTATATTAAATATATTTGTTTAATATTTTCTCCGATTACAAACAATTAGTGTAACCGATCATGCGTGTACTTATCACTTTGTATTTAAATAACATTTTATAATTATAATACTCTGTGTATGACAGGGCACTGTCAATGATATGGAGATTCTGTTAATTCCTATAATGCAATGTAAATTATGTGACTACTTATAGTCAAATGTAAATGATTAAGATTTTAATTAAATTAAACTAATTTTTGTATTTTATCGCGGTTGATTTTGTTTTTAAATCCCCATCCACTTTACGGCATGATCATTGGACTGAATTACGTCCGGTTTCTGAAACACTGATCATCGTAGAAGTAAACTAATCAGCTATCAAATTGATTTTCAAATGTTTCAGAAACTAGGCGTGAGTTTACGTCCTAGTGTTAAACATGAGCTACCGTATTATTTTATTATTAATTTCATAAAAATGACTTTATAGTATCTAAAGGATAACTCGTTGGCTCAGTTACATTGGCTTCGGCACCGGAGGTCGCGGGTTCGATTCCCTCATTGTTTAAATCGGGGTGTTTGCTCCCTAAACCTAGCCGAACCCACAAAAAACTTGATACACATACTGTGCCCATTAAGTGGATAAGGGGAGGAGAAAAAATAGAGTACCTACAAGATACTATTCATTTTTAGTAATATTACTAGCTATCAAAATTATTATGAAATCATTAGCAGCATTCGCTCCAACACAAGGAATCATTATGATTTAGGTCATATTAATAATTGGGATTTATGCTCTGGAGACAAAATAGAGACTAGTAAACGGTTGATATTGGACGGTGGCAATTTGGATTATTTGGATTAGACATAAATTAATTTCAGATTGCATAATTATACTGTATAACTTTGCTTGAGCTTATCTGTCTGAGCATATCTTTTTGTATCCCCTTTACTATGGACGAACTGAAATTGCTTTGATACAGTAATCTAATGAACACAGTTCTCTGTAGGCGATTTGAAAATTAGGGGACAGGAAGACCGGAGAACTACTCGTAGTCAAGTGTATTAAAGGTGAATCTTTAATGATACTACTCTATTTACATATTGAGAATAATTTTTATAAGTGCTTGTCAAAATTTTGACATACTTATGTCCGTCAACAGTGAGACTTACGCTAGCCATTCTATTTACGTCGGATGATATAAGATATATGATGGCAAGGGTTAGTTAGAGCCTCTGTAATAAAATAAAATTGCTAACGACACTGTTAGAATATCCGACGCTACGAAATTGAGTTTCCCTGAACGAACATGATAAATTTAGGGTAGTATCGTGGTCTTATATTGAACCTCGGCGATATCATACTGAACAAAAAAAAAAATGAATATTTAAGTTTGTTATCAAGTCTTATTAGTTTCATGCGTATAAAATATTGCTGAACGTTTTCAAAGAGGGAATTGTGTTAATTTTTATTGCCCATCTTCATGATTATGGAGATACAAACTCTCAATATTAAGGATTCACTTACCAGGCATCTAAGCCGCAGATTGTGTACGTTAAAAGATTATATTTTTTTACTGTATGCCGTTGTTGCGAAATATGTAAAATTTTCTTTAGAATTATAAGTACTGAAAGGTCTGTTCAACTGCAGGGACAATCCGCGGGAGATCCGGAACAAAGCGGAGAAGCAGCGACGTGACAAGATGAACAAATCAATAGCGCAGCTGGCGGCCATAGTGCCACCAGTTGTGGCCACAGGGCGCAAAATGGACAAGACCAGAGTGCTGAATCTGACAGCGCATTATCTGCGAGCACATCAGTACGGTGAGCCAAACTTATTTCAAATTAAATCAAACCACGATACGAAAGAAATCCGTTTTGGTGAATTACGATATATTCATTGTCGATTATGGATCTCGTCGAAATCTTAAGCCATATTAATAACATGACTTGAAAATTGTACGCACCTATTCGCTAATAATTTGACACTATTTACTTTAATAGCAACTTATTTGATTAAACATTTGTTGGTTGTTCAAAACATGTTCAAAACCACATTGAGCACGTTTAATTTTTTTGTCCTTTGTTATCGTAATTATATCGATTCCCTGAATTTAGTGCATCTAAGAAATAAAATATGCGTGCGTATGTCCGTTTTCTTCCTTGCCTCTTATAAGAAAACCAAAAATAAAGTCAAAATAATTATTATCATAGAATGCAAATATTTATTCCATCGTAAAATTATTAATCTTATATAAAGTAGAAACTTTACCAATTAGTCCGCCGTAAGTGTGAAATGTTTTTAAATATTGAGTCATTTTTTGTGACGCAACATATATGCGTTCTAGTTAATACTGCGCTTTGATTTGTGAATAATTTTCTAGTTCGCTACATTCCACATAATAATTGTTATGGCGCGGAATGTGAACTCCACCCATACCAATTACCTGATCGCTATCCGGCTAAATAAGTGAACTATATTCCGTAAGCGCTCCAAGTGCTATTTAGTGGTTTCGTAAAGCGGCGGCATAATATCGCTGTGTTGCCGTTACTCTCAGCTTATCGAGTGATATCCGATGCGTAAATCGAAACGACGCGTTCTTCTATTTAATTTTTAATTTTTAGCAATGAATTCATCATAAGAATTCGAGAATTATTGTTTGTTCTTCAATACATAAGTACAAAGTATTTAATGAAAACAACAGCACTTGTTTACAAGTTAAACTGCTGAGAAATATATATATGAGAGGGTATGGCCGAAATGATCAGCTTAGCAATCCTCTTTTCTCAAAATATTTTTCTTTACCGTCTAGCAAGTAGTAAACAATGGATGTCAAAATAAATGAACAAGTAAATAATTATGTGTATATTAATCTAGTGAATGCTCAATGTAATAAAAACCACTTTGGTTAGCTACTAAAGTTAACTATTCGTCGAGTATACTTTTTTAATTAAATTTGCCTATGTTACTATTGATCCGGTACCTTTATTGGTTTTTATTTTTACATTTGATGGATATAATGAAAAAAATATTATTTTTGAGTAGGTCTGAAACAATTGGAGTACAAGTAAATGTTTGGTTCATCGTATTTATATGTATATAAAAATGATATTATAAACAAATGAGAAGTAGATGTAAAACTGGCGCACCGAAACTCAGACACCTAATTTACATCAATAGGTGTAATTAGATTGTAATTATATAGACTGCTATCTCTTTCTCTATCATAGGCCTATATCATCTGTCACATTCACTTATATATCTCATATAATTTTAAGCGGAACAATTTTTAATCGCCGTACAGTATGGACCTGCGTCATCTATATTATTTAACATCATTGGTATATAATAATATATAAATTTAAATTTCAATAAATAGCGACATCTGACAGCTCATTGTCTGAGCGGGCGTCTTAACTGTCAACGACGTGGAAATTCTCGAGGAATTGCAAACATGACGTTTATCTAAAAATAATATTGGGCTTCCAGCCTCTACCTCGTTATGCTGGAGTTTTTGTTCGGCGTCATTGCTGCGAGATGGATCTGTGAATGTGTTTCTAAATAAGCCTCTGACGGTTCACCCATAGAAGCCACCGTGATAACTGAGCCACACTTTACCGCTCCTCTTTGGTACTACTCCAAATTGCTTTGGTCCCACCTGCCATTGCAATAGGAAACAGACATAGCCACTATAATTGCTCGACCTTCTCATCCCTTAATCATTACTATGTGAACAATGCCAATATATATTGTCAACTTGACTTTGAAAAAAAAAAAAACTATTGTTTGCACCCAAAATTTAACGGACCTTTCCTGTTTGCTTTTCGACGGCCTTTGTTAAGCTACTAACAAAACATATAATACTTGTTGAAGTAATCCTATCCATATTTTCAAAGGATCTTACTCGTATTTATAAGAGTGGTTCCCTTTTGTAATTTAACTCCCCCTTCAACGGCGCTGTGAAAAGCTTGCGCAGCCCCCATGATTCCATACTAGATGGCGTTATTAGAAACGTTACAGAGCAAATTGGCTACAAACTTTGTCGTCTGTTCAGATGGTCTTGGAGAGATATGCTTCGAAAATATTCGCATACTAACGAGTATTATTGTGTACTGCATATATATGCATATGTCTATACTTATTCGTATAAGTATATACATATTATAAAACAAAGTCGTCTCGCTGTCTGCTTGTCCCTATGTATGCTTAGGTCTTTAAAACTACGCAACGGATCTTGATGCGGTTTTTTTACTAGATAGAGTGATTGAAAAGGAAGGTTTGTATGTATAATACATTGCACCCGTGCGAAGCCGGGGCGGGTCGCTAGAATAAGTATATACTTATTCTAACTCTCTTATCATTTTCTGTCTTACGTCTTACCAGCAATGTCTGCATTGTTTAGGTTCTGTGCAAGTATTTGTTTGTTCTAAGGACTTTGGTAGGCGAGTGTACCCATAGTAAAACGCATCATGAATGTTATTGTCTGACTCATATATTGCATATTAATTTCATATGTAGGTGTCACCTACTAAATATGCTAATGGATAGGGTTCTAGTGATCTAATACCTGGATTGACGCCATGTTCTAAATGAATACATTAAATCGAATCACAGATCATGTATTTAATTTCTATAATTTTTATTAGTTTGTAAAATCTACAGCTAAATGAAATTATATTTTTTGTGTAAAGTTGGTGATGTATATTCTTATTGTAATTTGTAACAATATCGTCAATATAGCCCTGACAATTTGAAAAACATTTTAGCTCAAAAATTCTTCCCGTCATAAACACAAGTCTGTAACATGGTAATCAAAATTCGCAGCCAGTTCGGCATGTTGTGAACATACTAACCGTTTGATCAATGGACCGGGGAGTTCAGACGCTATTAAGAGCTGCTAATTACTTTTCGGCCCCCGCACAAAAAGCGGGGACTCCATTAGTTTTGACCCCATGTCCGTGCACCGCGCTTATTTGTGTACCTACAGCGCGCGTACCGCACCCCAAAAACTTTTAGCTTTTATCTCAATCATGTCGCTAACAGGAAGCGACGGGTGAACTTCATTCGGTGGGGACGTTGCAGATTTTGCCTTAATTAAATGTAGGGCATTGAATAAAATAAGCGCTGTATGATTGGCATTATCGGTGTTTCAAATCTTATGGCGCAGTTATATTTTTCTATGGATATTTGAGAGGGAATTAGGGTATATTTTTTAGTTTTTTTATTTTAGTTATTTACATTAACTACATCTTATTCTTTATTTCGATCAGTCTCAAACGATTAGTAGTACCTATTCTATTCTAGTGAATTGTCGATAGAATAATTTTGAAATGAAAACAAATTCATCGAGTTAATTTCTTCGTTTACTTCATATTCACTTAGAGCAGTCTTTTTGAACTTCTTGTCCACTACATAAATATTATGTACTTATACTCGTAAGGTACACACTAGCGAATTCTGAAATATTCTTAATATGCAGTTTACAGTTCTTTACATATTAAATCAGAATGAAATACACTCCGCATCGACAATATAAGTGATTATTTTGCAAATTGGAACACAAAATATAATTGTTTGCGCAAAATTTCCGATTTTGACATAGCTTTAATTTTGTGTGTCATTTAGTGGATGGCGGGCCAGATTTTTTACAACATTTGTAACGTATTGAACAGAAAAAGACTGACACTGAAATAAAAAACAACCGAGAAACAACCTTTGAAACGGACTATAAATTTCAGTGTATGATAGGCTTTAATTAAAAAACGAGGAGGTATTTGAAGTCGGAACTTGGAACTCCGTCCAAAGAAAAATATTCAATATTTATATATTCAATATTTAATATTCAATATTCAGAAAAATATTCAATATTTGCCCACCTTAATATAACATGGAACTCCTCAAAATGGAATAGAAAATATCTAGTGGGTTAGACTTTTATGGTCGGTTTTTTTTTATTTATTTTACATACTTTTTACATACTGTGTAGGTAATACACATTCCATTTATACTTAACACTTACTGCATTATTACGTCATAATATACAAGTAACTTATGAAAACCGAGCAAACTGCTCGTTTAATTAGAATCCCGGCAACATGACTTTTCAAAGCAAACCGCCGTAAGTGTTATGGTTTTAGTTAAATGAGGTCTCACCTGTTGCCCGTTCGACGGAACTAGTTTGAGTACACATACCCGACCACGGCCACCGCATGCAATTTGTTGGCGCAGGTGTGCGTCGATTGTTGGTTTTATAACACGTGTGCGATGATGCGATGTGTGCTGTAGCGATGTGATTAATTGCCAATATCGTCCGCGCCGCAAGTCCTTTGTTTCGACCATATTCATGATTCTTTTTCTTTTCTCTATGTGAGAAAGGTGGTGAACGAGCTGGCGGCTCACCCGATGTCAAGTCGCCAATGCACATTTGCGAAATTCGTAGGGTTATTTACTGCCTGAATTGAGAGCAAAAACGTTGCAGATGCGTTGCCGCCTTTGATTAAAGTGGGCCACGGCTACCTCACTCACTTTTTTTTTTTTTTTTTTTTTTATGCGAAAATTTGTCAAACGAGCAGACGGTTCACCTGATGTTAAGTGAATACCGCCGCCCATGGACATCTGCCACACTCGAGGGTTACAGATGCGTTGACAACCTTTTGAAAATTGGGCTCCGGATACCTCACTCACCAGACGAAACGCGAAAGTATTTGTCATACTTCCACTTTACGCTGGTCTTCTGTGAGGTCGTGGTACTTATCCGGACGGGCCTGCCCATTCGTGCAACAGCCGAGGCTGCTGCGTGGCCCTACCACCGTCACGCTGCTAT